CGCTGCCGCTGAGGGCGAAGGGGGAGGCCGGGCGGGTGCAGTCAGCGAGGAATCGCTCCTCCGGAGCGCTGGAATCACGTCCTGTTTTGTAAGCCCTAAACCTACCTGAAGGTATGGGCAAACACTTAGAAGGGTGACAAGCACGTGCCAGGAGAAGCACGGAGGAACCATTCGTCAGTGGAAATTTGGTTTCTCCAGCAGCTCCAAGCTAAACTTAGCCCACCTGCCGCTTGCGTACTAGAGAGATGCATGAAAACGCCGTTTTCGCTGGTCACCTCGATGCTGTCCTCTCACTTTAATAGCTCGTCAGCCGTGATTCCACAGGGCTAAGGGTGAAAACCACGGGTATTTTCCATCTCTAAGTCTGTTGTGTCACACAGCCCCTCTCCCTGCAGCACCAGGGCGGCTCCCTCCAGTCCATTTACCAGTGCTTGTCCAATCTCCTCCTAAAGGTACGCAGCCGGGCAGGGCTTTCTGACTTCCCCCAAAAGATTACAAGAGAATTAAGTGTGCTTGCTTTTCCTTTCCCGCTAACTAGTCCACCTTTACCTTTCCTTCTTTTTTTACTGTAATTGTTACCTTTTTGAAAATCATGGTACACTCCTAAAGAATTCTCCATCCGCAAAATTTCTTTTCTCGTCTCTTTCTGCGTCCTATATTTATTTATTCATTTATACAACAGAACCATGGATAGTCTGTTATCTATTAATAGAACAGAAGGCAAAAGAGTAGGCATGGAAAGTAGGTATAATAATAAAAAAAAAAAAACGAAGCAAATATTTCAGTAATTCTTAGAAGACATTCAAATGACCTTCCAGCGTAAGAAAGTCAATACTTCAAAGCAAACACAAATAAGTTCTTCCTTTAAAGTCAGTTACATTTAGCATCTTATTAATTTTGTTGGTCTTAGCTGAGGCCCCGGTATGTAAGTCGGAGGGAAGATTAATCCCCACGCTGTGTTAGAATAACTGTAGTAAGGAATAAATTTCCTTTCCCCAATGAACAGCATATTACTCAGCCACAGGTACGATTTCACAGGACAGACAGTGAAGAGAGCTCATTTAATCTATTAAAATTATCACAGAAATGGGTCAAAAGAATAGAAGCAGCATGGGAGCTAAGACTGACCCCCTAAGGAAACATGCAACTGGGAGGCTCATTAGACCAAAGCACTGGAAAGCGGAAGTGGACAGGAGGCAGAATCTATATGCTGCAGGCATGGAGAGCAGAGGAAGGACTATCCTTGCTGCACTCAGTCGGGGCATACTGTTACAGATTTCTCTGATCCAAAACATTTGTCCTTGGCACCAAGCTCAAGTGAGTCTGCTTCGAAACAAGACTCTCTGCTGGGACTTCTTTCCAGGAAGCAGTACACCAACCCGACTGCAGCAGTGTTCAACGCGTCTCTGAGTAACGCATCCCAACACGCAGCGCACGTTGTCACAGACCCACTAGCCCTTCTCTAATTTGTCCTCAGCCCTCTTCAGTGTGTGTGCGCTGGGGCACAGCTCTCCACGTACTGGCACCTCTATCTTAGGAGGTGAAGTCACGTATCACTTACAGGAGCAAACCTCACTGAAGCTGCATCAAGCTGTAAGAAACCTCTGTAATGAGGGTGGAGGGGGGTTTCCTATTTATTAGACTCTATGTCCTGTAACAATCATTTCTTTAGCACTGTCTCACCAGGAGGGAAAATGGGGAGACATTCCGAGGAACCCACAAGTTTCATAGTACGTGAACATGGAAATGCATTTTCACATGAAAAAAACAAGAGGCTGAACTATTCAAAACAATCACTATTGCAACGCTTGTAATACAGTGTATCTAAGGGTAGCTGGACTCTAAGATTGCAATTTAGGGAACCTGTCTAAAATATTTAACACCACCATTTATGTGAGGTAAGGTCAACTAATAGTGAATACTATAGAAAAAGGTTTCTTCCACCAAGTAAAGGTGTCAACTCAGCATTTCACCAATTATCAGAGCACAGTTAACAAAATTTCAATTTAATAGAGGAAAACATATCTTCACATGGGAGTATAAATTTCTTGATTTGATTTGGTTTATCATTCCGTTTGCAAACTACGTAACTATTCACAGTTACAGTATTTCTGAAACTAGCAATCCCTTCTCTGCAGTCCTCAGTGTCAAAAATCCTCAAGTAAAGCAGCCAAGAATAAGAAATCATCTTTTCAATATTTCAAAAGTTGTTACCCACGCTAATCCTTATTACTGAGGAGTAGATACAGTAACCACTAAACATACGCTCAGCAACTGTCAAACACAATCTAGTACCGAAAAACAGGGTCATGTTACCTGGAAGTTTTATAATTCAACCACCTACGCTAGTCAGTACCTTTTCTGCCCAAATCCGTTATTAGCCAAGACAGGATCATACGCAAAAGCCTTAATGCAAGGTGAAGGTGCACACTGGATGTCACCCAGTGCCCACCACTGTCACTCCTCTAACATCAAGGGACGTTTCCTCAGCCTGCTAGGAGCAAGAAAAGATTCTGTGTTTGTGTATTTTCTTTCACACTGGATATACTTGCATAAGCTTTTTCCTTTAGCTCAGCACATTCACAACCGTAATGTAGCAAGCTAGATTCATGGCAAGAAGAAACCCAAGAACAGTTAGAGCAGCACTAAAATGTCATTGGCTCTCTACTGTTAATTCAGTTTAGAGAATAAGGAATGCCACCACAATTTGGAAATGAAGATATCTCAATTATTTCCAAAGCACTTTAAAGACAAAAACAAAGGTAATTCACAGTGCTTCTGTATAAGTTACCATTAAATTATTTCTTATTTCTGTGCTGCAAACAATGTAAGACACTGGTCGTGACATTAACAGAAGACTGAAATTATGAATAC